GCCTAATACTTTTTGTTAGCCAATTAATTTATTAATAGAAAAAGTAGAAACCTAAACTTTTCACTTTGCTGAAATTTGATATTTAGTGTTCCCCTGTTGGAATGTTAATTTGGAGACTGGGAAGTGTTCTAAAGACTGGAGGTATTTTAAGGTCAGTTCTCCTATAAACAGCACACCAGAGAGGGGCAGCCAAACTTAGTGTCTGTTTTGGGAGGGATTTCAAATGGACTTCAAAGGATATTTATTAATGAGAAGTTTGAAACTGCTCAGTGACTTGCCTAGAGTTGCACCATAGGTCAATGGCAGAGCCACCCCTAAAGCCACATTTTCATGCATATATCCAAGGGGCCACAAGAGTCCTCTGTCTTGACTTTTCTCTTTTGAAGACAATATAGCCTCAGAGTTCATTCTTTTATCTTGTTTTCCAACTGAAATTCCAGTGATTTTCTTTTTCCTCCCCAGTATAGTATATTCCATCCAATAATTCCTTAAACAGTGGCCTCTCTTTAGAAATACTTACAGTTTTAAACTTGGTTCAGGCTCCAGAAACCATTCCTCTAGGGAGCCTTCCATGATGCCCTCATCTTTTTTTTTTTTTTTAAGATTTTATAAGATTTTATTTTTAAGTAATCTCTACATCCAACGTGTGGCTTGAACCCACAACCCTGAGATCAAGAGTCCCATGCTCCACTGACTGAGCCAGCCAGGGATGCCCCCATGATGCCCCCATCTTTAGTTAGGGAACCCTCTTCTTGCTCTACACATGCTTTTTTTTTTTTTTTTAAGATTTATTTATTTGAGAGAGAGAGAGAGTGCACGAGCATGGGAAGGGGCAGAGGGAGAGGGAGAGAAAGAATCCCAAGCAGACTCCACACTGAGCGTGGAGTGCAACACGGGGAACGATCTCATGAACCTGAGATCATGACCTGAGCTGAAATCAAGAGCCAGGCACTCAGCTGACTGAGCCACCCAGGTGCCCCTCCACTTACACTTGATGTATGCAATTACTGTACTGCTAGCACATTAAACAAATGTTTGAACTTGTTAAAAAAAAATGAAATTCAACCAAGTAAATCTGAAGATCTAATTGGCTTTATTTAATGATTCATGAATCGGTCCATATCCCATCCAGCAAATAGAGGGGCGTTCAGGGAGTTGTACAAAATGGAAGGTTTCTATAGGAAAGATGGTGGGGCAAGAAAGTTATTAGCAAAAGAAAAGGATTGTTCCTGGCAGGATCACTTTCCCTTAGGGAGAAGAGCAAGGTTTCTTATCATGCAAATGACCTCATCTTCCTTTGGGGATAGAGAGGGCCCATGTAACAGATTACTTCATTGGCCCTGATCAGAAAATTCCTGACTGACTGGTTAAGATTTATATTTCTGGGGGATGTTGAAACTACAGTTAGATTAGGTATTAAGCCCTGTTTGGTGACTTGGCCTAAGTGATGCCGTTTGGGGCCTGTGGTTTTCTTTTTAACAAACTATACTGATTTGCACTATTTCCCCTAAGAGCTTCTAGAAATAGTTAAATAAAGTGTTTATGAAAATTGTGCCTCAACCAAATAGGTAGATTACATCATCAAAGAAATACATTAGAATAGAGTTACTACATCTTGCCAAGTATTTTTGCTTTGAAGGTCCCCTTCTATTTTTTTTTTTTTTTAGTGATAAGCTGTCTAAAATACATATTGACATTTGGATAGTCCTTGTCTCTTCATGAGACATCATCTCTTCAAAGAAAGAAATAATAAAAATATTCTTGCCAGAACTTAAAATATGGAGGAAAGGCAAAGACATTCCTACTTAATGATGTCAGATACTCTGCTGTAGTGGATTTTCCCTCTACAGCCTAAGCATGCATTCATATGGAATGTCTCAACTTTATCATCCTTTGAAATGTAGTCACAAGAGCTGCAACTTCCTTTCACTCTTTTCTGATGCAAGATGTGACTGAAGTAACAGAACACCCAAGATAAAACTTTGTGTGTATTAATCAGGATAGACCTAAGTTAGCCTGCAGTAACGAGCACCACCAAAATCACTGTCTGTGGTTAACATAACAGAAGTTTACCTTTGCTTGTGGGAAGAGCACCGAGGGTCCAGGACAGCTGACCTCCATGTGGTGGCCCAGCAATCCAGGCTGCTTTGATCTTGAGGCACCCCCATATTGACATGTGCTTCTACCATTGCTGTGGGGGGAATGGGAGCCTGGTGCATTATGCCCTGGCTCTTCCGTGTTTCTGGCTGAAAGAGACACATAGGCATAACTAACCGAAGGCAGGAAGACCTAATCCTCCCTCTCTGATGGGGTAGAGGACTGGAAATATTGGTAGGCACTGGTTGTATCTACCAAGTCAATTGTTCGTTCACAGAAAGAGGGGCAGTTATGATTTCATATTGTGATCTCTGTCAACTTTCAGGATTTACTTATACTCTCAGCAAAAACATAGAGTTAGAGGAAATTGAATAGCCCAGCAAACCCCTGAAGGACTGAAAATGTGGAGAGAAGGGATGACATATTAGATCCAAAGATGTTTGCCTTTCTGATGTCTTGATTGAAATACTATAACTGGTGTAGTAGTTTCCTAAGAAATTTTTTAAAACTTTAGAGTCTGAAATAGACTGAACACAGATAGTTCCGTAGGGGACTTACTGCACTTCTCCAATCTGAGCCCCTGTTTGTCCTTTAAAAGGACATCAACCTTTGGAGAATATCCTTGGTGAACAGGTGAGTCCTTCAGTGAGGTTACCTTGGTTATTGCTGGAGAAGAGCTTCCAAATTTATGTGCAGCAGAGGAAGAGAAGACTGATTTCCATAACCAGTTATGGTGATGTGTTGAGAGTCCCCATGACCACACTCAGATGATAACTGGATTTTATCTATTGATATGCATCTGGCTTCCTAATTTTTTTAGACTTTCCAGAGGACAAAGGTATGAGAGGATGCTGCCATCATCATCACTGACTCCAAACCGCATTGCTAATTTTAGTGCTCAAGATGACTGGGCTAGGGCGCCTGGGTGGCTCAGTCGTTAAGCGTCTGCCTTCGCGGCTCAGGTCATGATCCCAGGGTCCTGGGATCGAGCCCCACATCGGGCTCCCTGCTCAGCAGGAAGCCTGCTTCTCCCTCTCCCACTCCCCCTGTTTGTGTTCCTTCTCTTGCTGTCTCTCTGTCAAATAAATAAATAAATTTTTTAAAAAAAATTAAAATTAAAAAAATACACTTCAAAATCTGGAAGTTGTGCACAAAGACAGTATAATTTTTTACCTGAAGAATCCCACTAACTCAGGGTGTCATAAAAATTCATATACTTTCAGTAAGTACAGCTTTAAGATATTTATACAAGACCTTATATAAGTCATATACGCTGTTTTTGAGCAATTAAAATCCTAGTATCCCAGTAGAACATTTCCCCGATCCTACCCAGAGATTAGCTTTTAATTGCGCAAAAATGTTCAGCAGCAAGAGAGTATTGAACAAAAATTTAAAACAGCATTCCATTAAAACTGCAACAAATGACCCTAACTACTGCAAATGAGTAACCACACTGACTGGAGTGAGGAAGAAAAGAACTAACCTAGTAACTTTGGAAAATAGGCTCTTACCTGAATACTCTTAAACTGAGGGCAAAAAGACTTATACATAAATGCTATATTTTGGTTAAAGGGTTTCTCACAGGGGTATAGGTTAGCAGTTCTGAATGTAGTAGTATTGAACAAATAAGTAAAGACATTGTAAATAATGAGAGTGAAGTTTCTTGCTGTTTGGGAATAAAGTTACAAATGAGGAAGAGCTCAAATATACCATGTGGTGTTGACTTAGAATCACAGGTATCTGTATAAAATCATGGTTTTCAATATGTGTACAGACAGAGAAATACAGGTGTGTGGGTTAATGCATATACACATATTTCCTAGCTCTGTCTGCTTGGAAGCAGTGGAGCCCTGGCACTCATGAGAGCATCCAGCATTGGACATCTTGCCTTCTAAACACATTATCTAATAAAAGGAAACAGGACTCCTGGGAAAAGTAATTAATTCCAAGGCTGGGACAGGGGAAATGCAAAATGAGCCTGGAGCATCTTGTAGGGTCAGAAAATAAGGAAGTGTTCCAAAAATTATGGGACTTGTCACAACACTGGACCCAACCTGGATGGACAGAGCTGGAATAATTGTAGCACCAAAGTAAATAATAATAATAATAATAATACTGGATTTTAAGCTATAGAATAAAATAAACACTCATAAGTCCATACTGATATAAATAAGTTAGTTAAATGGGGGAGAATAGATAGCACTTTCCTACAGAAGAATTATAGTTAATGAACTTAGGAGGAGGAAGGGAAAATAGAAGATCACCATTAAGCAAAGACCACAATAATTATTATGATAGAAAAGATCCACTGGTGGATGCAAATGTTTATGGGTAAAATCTGAGGAGAAGCAGGATATTTCCATAGTCTCAAAGTATCTCCCCCAATATAGTTATTAATTTTACAAGGAAAGGTAATTTCATAGTAAAGGAACTTACTAAGGTGGCAGATACCACCTTAACTAAGCAATCAAGATCAAGATCACTAGTGATAGGACACCGACATCATGACCCTCTTGATATTATGCACTGAGAAGGACACAATAGTATTTCACTGTCCTTAAAGACAAGGAAAGACTGAAGACCATGAGAATGGAGATGAGGAAGAAGTGAAAACAAATCACACTGTGGGAAACTGGGTAGGATCATAGAACAGAAAAAGGGCATTTGTAGAAAAACTTGTGAAAGTAGAATAAGGCCTGCAATTGAGTTATCACTTGTTCTGATCATTGTACTAGGTAATATAAGATGTCAACATTGGGAGAAGTTGGGTGGGAAGTAGATGCTAAAATTAGTTCAAAATAAAAATTATAAATAATATGAAATAAAACATATAAAGTGCCCCCAAACAAGTATTCCAATAAAAGTAAATTATTTTTTGGTTCTTCCTTTTGCAATTTCCACAGCGGAGCGACTTTCAAGCACCTGGCTGGATGTTCGTCACATTGAAAAATATGTAGACCAAGGTAAAAGTGGAACAAGAGAATTACTTTGGTCCTGGGCACAGAAAAACAAGACCATTGGGGACCTTTTACAGATTCTCCAGGAGATGGGGCATCATCGAGCTATCCATTTAATTGTGAACTATGGTAAACATTTATGATTCTTTTGATGTGGCTCTCAGTCCATTTTATAGGAAATGTAATTTCTAAATGTAAATACTGCATTTTATTCAAGACATTGACTGGTCATGCTGTGTCACTGATTCCTTACCTGAGGCTTTATCTGAAGGCTTTTATTACTGTTTTGTTTTGTGTTTTTTTTGGTGAAATTTTCTTTCCTTATTGCCTAAGTTATACAACACATTCCTCTCTACCACTTGTTAAGTTTTTTAAAATTTTTTACTTGGAAACTACACTTTTTAAAATGTTTTATTCTTAGCTAGGAGAATGAGCTCTCCATCCAAAACTCTGAAACTATTTGAATCATAAACAGAATCACAGTATTTGAGTAAAATATACTTTTATAATTAGTTTTATCATATGATTAGAAGTCAAAATATCATTGGATTCTCCTCCCTGTATTTTGTTTTCTTAAAAGATTTATTTATTTATTTGAGAGAGAGAGAGAGAAAGTGCACATGCACACACATGCACGAGTGGGGACAGGGGCAGAGAGAGAGGGAGAGAGAGAATCCTTGAGCAGACTCCGCAGGAGCAGGACTCAGGGCTTCATTCCAGGACCCTGAGACCATGACTTGAGCCAAAACCAAGAGTCAGCAGCTTAACCCACTGAGCCACCTGGGCACACCCACTCTATCCCCACCCCCAGCCCCCTGCCCTGTATTTTAGTGCAAATGATACCTGCAGAATAACCCTGGGATGTATCTTTTATCTTTACTGCTGTTTTTATGTCATGGCTTCTAACTTTACCTTACTTGTCTGCTATCCATTTCACAGTGGCCTAATACTTCCCTCTATTTGTCTTGTCTGTTTCTGATGCTGTGTCTTGCCTTCCATTTAGAGCAACCTGATAAGTAAAGCTCATGAAGCTTTTTCCATTCATCTTTACCAATAAAATAATTTTCTAATGTCACTTGTTCTGTTTATTCCACTTTAGATTTAATCTTTAAAAAAAAAGATTTAGGGGCGCCTGGGTGGCTCAGTTGGTTAAGCAACTGCCTTCGGCTCAGGTCATGATCCTGGAGTCCCAGGATCGAGTCCCGCACCGGGCTTCCTGCTCGGCGGAGAGTCTGCTTCTCCCTCTGACCTTCCCCCCCTCTCATGTGCTCTCTCTCTCTCTCATTCTCTCTCTCAAATAAATAAATAAAATCTTTAAAAAATAAATAAATAAAAATTAAAAAAAAAGATTTATTCACTTCAACAAGAATGATCTTGAGTGATCTTGGGTCTTATATTACAGACTCAGGGCTATTAAGCTGGAAATTCTTTTGAATCAGCATCCTTATTCTTTTGGCTTTTTCATCCAGACATATTTTTAGTCCTTGGTCTCATAGAATGATTTGCGAGTTGTTACTTCCTCTTCTATTTTGGAAGAAGTTGTAAAGACCTGATGTTAATTCTTGTTTAAATGTGTGGCAGGATTCACCTGGGCTTTTGTTTGTGGGAAATCATAGATTATTAATTCAGTCTCTTTCCTTGCAATACATCCATTCAGATTCTTTATTTCTTCTTGAGTTAGTTTTGGCAGTTTGTGTCTTTCTAGGAATCTGTCTATGTCATTTCGGTTATCTAATTTTTTAGATACAGATGTTCATCATATTCTCTTATAATTCTTTTTATTTCTATGAGGTTGGTAGTTGTGTCTCCTCTTTTGTTTTTGGTTTTAGCTGTTTGAGTCTCCTCTCTTTCTGGTTAGTCTAGCTAAAGGATTGTCAATTTTGTGATAATTCCAAAGAACCCACTTTGGTTGCATTGGTTTTCTCTTTTGTTTTTATGTTATCTGTTTCATTTATTTCCACTATAATCTTAATTCTTTCCTTCTGCTTCCTTCGGTTTAGTTTACTCTTTCTTTTCTAGTTCCTTAAAGTAATAATTTAGGTAATTGATTTAAGATTTTTCTTCTTTTTTAAGGTAGACATTTACAGCTATAAATTTCCTTTTAAGCAGTTTTTGCTGCATCCCATAAGTTTTGGTATGTTGTGTTTTCATTTTCATTCATCTCAAAGTGTTTTCTAATTTCCCTTGTGATTTCTTCTTGAACTCATTGGTTACTTATGGATTTATTGTTTAATTTTCATGTATTTGTGAATTTCCCAAATTTCCTTCTGTTATGGATTTCTATTTTAGTTCCATTGTGGTCAGAGAATATGCTCTGAATTATTTCAATCCTTCCAAATTTATTGAGGCTCATTTTATTGCACAAGATATGGTCTATCCTGGAGCTTGTTCAATGTACACTTGTGAAATATGTGTATATTCTTCTGTTTTTGGATGGAATGTTCTATAGCATGTCTGCCAGGTCTAATTGGTTTGTAGTTTGTTCAAGGAGGTCTGTTATTAATTGATTATGTTTTGTTGCCAGTCTTTTAAGCAAAATAATTTTTAAAATAGAATACAATCTAAGAAAACTAGAAGATGAAGTAAAATTTTTCTGAAGTCTGAATGAAAATGTGATATGTGACAGCAAAATATTTCAGGGTTTTTATCTTTTATAGGAAACTACATAGACTACCTCAATTCAAATAGAACAGACAGAAGTTACAGTGTGCATTCGGGAAGGGGTGGTAGGTGTTTGTGGTTGACCATGTGTGTGCGCACGTACACACACACACACACACACACATACACACCTCTAACACCTTATGGCATAAGACAGGATAAAAAATAAAGTAACCTAGGGAGATATGATCCCATGATTGTAGAACTTTAAAGTATATGGGCAAAAAGCTGATACAATGTTGCTTTTTCCTATCAGTTTTCTGCTTTATCCTTTAATATTTTTAATGATGTCTAACAATAATCTAAGGTAGGTATTTATGTGTTAACGGAACAAAAGCATGTTTGCATAATATTTGATCCTTAGAAAGCTATTCACATATGCAAATTTGTAACCATTCAAAGAGAATGAAACTGAGCTTTAGAAATTAACATTACTAGCAAGGTGTTTATTTTCAGTCTAAGAAAGAAAAAAAAACATGCTTATTAGAGACATAAAATTTTTCTGTATCTAGCTTCCCTTATTTCTCTTTCAGGAGCAGTCTTGAATCCTTCAGAGCAGAGTCATCAGGTAGATGGATTTCCAAACATGTTACCCAAGGTAGAGTATATGTGCATAGATAATGAACCTTGAATCCTGTTACATATATAATTGAGCATGGGGAATGAAATTGTCAGACAGAAAAATGCTGGATTTGCAGGTACTTTTCTCAAACCAGAAAATCCTCAGCTCTCTCATTACTCTTTGTTTAGTTGGGGATTGAGGAATTAGAGATTTGTGAGTGTTTTAAGAGTGAAGAGTTTTCTTCTCACAGTGGTCTATCACAGATGAGGCTTAGAACTATTAAGAGCGCTGGCAGCTGTGCATTTGTCTTAATTCAGTTTTTAATTTTCCTGTTCTAGTTGGCGTTTTGCATGTTGCTGTTGGTTTTATTGGAACAAATAAATTGGCAGTGATTGTTTTTATAGCATTAGAAGTCATTTAAAATTGACTATAACCATGACATTGAGTTTTTGCAGTGGTATGAAAGACTTAACTGTATATAGCAATGAATAGTATTGAATTAAATAAAGTAACTGCTTTCTACTAGCTTTTTTCTAAATTAGATTCTACTCTATTGCACTGTATAGTCCAGGGGGAGTTTTGGATTCCTGTTAAGGTTCTGTTCTTTGTAGACTTATGAAAAGGAATTACTTCAGTCTGTATTTCCTCTCTTAGGAAACAGCTAATGTCACAGTGGATAATGTTCTTATTCCTGAACGTAATGAAAAAGGTAAAAAAAAAATTTTTTTATTTTTACTTTAAATCACATTTTGCTTTAAGTTAACTTACAGGGGGAAATAACCAATAAACCTATTAACTATTCATTAATATGCAGGTTTAGGGTAAAATTTTCATTGATATCAAAATACTTGCAGTTTTGACTGACACAGAGCTCTGATGGATAATATATTATGGTGATATTTTAAAAATCCATTGGCCAATAGAGAATATAATGGTGGTTTCTTCCCTTAGGGGGGTTTCATATTTTCCATTAGTGAAATTTGCATTTTTGTGTGTCATCAGAAAACATTTAAAAATTACACTGGGTTTTATATAGTTTTAGAAATTTCCATAGCCCTTGCAGAGATCTTTAGAGATGTCTGTAGAGCAATGCTGAAGGTCACTATGAAAATCCCATTATTTTCCATATCAACTTTATTAATTTATTAGCAGGGAGAATAATTTAGTTCTACCTGGGAATCATTCTGATAAACTTTAAAGGCTAGTAAGTCTGCTTTGCCTCATCTTTACCACTAGATCTGCATATTCTTTGGTTCAAAAGAGAATTAGAAAAGTTGGATAAAGTTGGATAAGGTTTTGGTCCTTTAAGATTTAACAATAAGTTCTAAATCAAACATAAAATGTGGAAATAGAGCCAAAATCGGGCTCTGAAGGATTTAGCTAAGCTTTTCCCTTTGGATATGTATTTGATTACCTTTTGAATGTTTTCTCCCAATCTCTGCTTTAGATGAGTTTTTGAAAAGCTGAAGCATCTTCCTAATTTACTCTGAGGAAGTAAGTTAGGAATAGAGAGGATTTGGCTCATGAAAAATGTTTCTATCAGTCATTCTAGGAGAATATTGTTTAGTCATAAACTTCTGTAGTTTTTGGGTTCTTTTTTTAAAAATGGTTTTAGGTTCATAGTGAGTCAAAAGTAACCCATTGATCTAATGACAAAGAAATCAAATCTTGGAAAAGTTTCCCCAACTAAGTTCTTTGGCTGAGCTCTTTGGAAGGGTGATAGAATCACAGTGCTCTTGTTCAGATATCTAAAAAGCCATTTGCTCTCTGGAATGGTGGGTGCCAGACCCAAGTAAATGGGCAGAGAGCACATGGTGGGCTTCAGTTTGGGTTCCTGGGCCTTGCCCTGCTGGTTTTCTGCTGGGCTCTGATGTATTTCTAATATGGAAGTCCTGGTTCTTTATAATGGTGGCATTGATTCTTAAGAAGAGAAAAAGTAACTTATCTTCTCCCTACTTTCCTTCCTAAGGAATATTGTTTAAATCCTCCATGAGCTTTCAAAACATCAGAGATGGAACCAAAAATTTCCACAAAGATTTCCTAATTGGAGAAGGGGAGATTTTTGAGGTATACAGAGCGGAGATCCAAAACCGAACATATGCCATTAAATTATTTAAACAGGTATGGAAAGAATTACTATCACAGGAGATCAATTCCATTTATTTGCTCATATTTCATACTAGAAAGTGTCATTTTTCATCAACATTGAAAGGAGGTATATTTGAAAATAAAGTTTCATAAATGGAAATAAGATATATGAGCTCAGGTGACTGGAGAAAAGACTGTGAAATGACTGCCTGTCTCGCAGGAATGTGGAAATGAAATTCTTCCCATCCCCAGATGTGTCGAAGGAGGAGGACTTTTCTGAGAAGCCTTGCAGGACCATTGGCACTTTGCTTGTTGTGGGCTACTCCAGTTTTCTTGTTCTTTTTGGGATGGACAGTGTCTGTTCCAAGTAGCTTCACAGGCTAAGCCACAGGCTGATATTTATAAATTGTATTGTGATTACACTGTCATGTATCACAGTTCAGGAGGGCTGGAAGGAGGAGGCTTCAGGTAAGAGGAGCAAGGCAATGATCAGAGTAGGAGCTCAGGAGAAAGCTGAGTGGCCACAGCCAGTAAAGCAGAAAGGGTACTGGGGAGTCAAACTCAGGAGTCAGGAGACAGGGGCGCACACAGACACCTCATCATGTTCCTCATTGATAGTCAATGGTCAATAAACATTTATTAAACTCTTGCTGGGCTGGGTGCTGAGCAAGAATGAATGAGGCATATAATTCAGTCCTCAGGGAGCTCAGTCTTTTTTTTTTTTTCCTTTTTTTTTATTATGTTCAATTAGCCACTGTATAGTTTTTGATGTAGTGTTCAATGATTCATTAGTTGCATATAACACCCAGTGCTCATCACAGCACGTGCCCCCCCAGTACCCATCACCCAGCTACCCCCTACCCCTACCCCTCTCCTCTCTGAAACCCTCAGTTTGTTTCCCAGAGTCCAGAGTCTCTCATGGTTCGTCTCCCTCTCTGACTTCAGGGAACTCAGTCTTATGGGGCAAACAAACGGTCAGGTAAAGAAAAGATGAGCATGTAAGGTGAGAAGTAGTTGAGCAGAGATTTGTATAAAAGGTCATGGGAGCCGGGAAGAGACAGCCAGAGCTCCGATGTGCAGCCACAGCCTCATAGCATTATCTCCCAATACCGACTTCATCACCCACCTCTCCCAGTGGGCTTGATGGTTTTCTTTAAAGAGTCTTATTTATCTTTGTATCCCAGAGTGTTATTACAGGGCCTGGCCCATGGAAGTTGCTCAGTAAATGCTCATTAGGTGAACTGAATGAAGCATGTATGTCCTTTTCATGAATTTAGCTGCTAATCTCTAGGAGTAAAAAGACAGGAGCTGACAAAGTTACCAGAGACTTAGAGACTGTACAAAGTCCTACACACACATCAGGAAAGATGGGATAATTTAACAAATACTTAGCCACAGAGCATTTGTTTTTAAAGAAATGTGGTTTTGTAAAATTGGGACATTAACTTCAGTACCTCAATAACCTATCTTCAAGGGACGGAAGTGGGGAAATGTACAAGATGCGTTAGGTGTGTACAGATCACCTGGAGATCTTACGATGCAGATTCTGATTCAGCACACCTGGGTAGGGACCTGAGATTCAGCATTTCTCACCAGCTCCCAGGGAAGCCGATGTTCCTCCTGCACAGACCAAACTTTGAGCATTAAGAGTGCTAGGTTAGCATGAACACAAAAACTAACCCCTTGCTTTTTCAGATTAAGAAAACAACGACCTCAGGGATGTTAAGTGACAAAAGTCACAAATATTGAGTGTTAGAAATAGGACTGAGACCCAATCCACCTGGCTTCCGGGACAACGGCTTTTTCAAATGTAAATTCTCATAAAGCAGTCCTTGAAAATGATCTGTTAGCCTAGTTTATTGTTTCTGACTTCCTGGATTAATTTTTGGAAAATAGCTTCCAGAATTCCTGCTGGATTTCTCTCCCTTTCTTCCTGAGAACAGAGCTCTAAAAACCCTGCCCTGTCTTGCAATTTACAAATAATAGAAACTTACAGCTGATGGAGCCTAAGAATATTTAACTCTTTCGTGGTAGAAGTTAGGAACTGGAGATGCGGAGACACGCAGTGACATAAGGTATATAAAGCCATCAAGAACAATACCAGGTACCGAGTAGGTGCTCATACAATATTAGAGAATTCATTAATATATTCAATAAATATTCATGTGTCAGGCATTGGGCTAGCTTCTGAAACTCCTTTGAAATAAGGAGTTATATTTCTCAATGTCTTAGTAAGCCCATTTTTTTCAAAATTAATACAAAGGTAAACTTGAGTCATCATCTCCAAATGACCCAAATCAGAAATGCCAAATTAGTGAAATCACTTCTAACCAGAATACAGCGACAACAAACTGGATTCTTTCTGAGACCAAGTGGGGAGTTTCTGTCATGGGATTTTCCTTAAATACATATGTAAAATTTTTGAATTTATGTAAATGTGTACAAAATATGGTAAAAGGGTTTGAATATGAAATACGGCAATAGGACACATTGTATGAAAAACTTCTAACTCAAGAGCAGTGGTTCTCAATCTGTTTGGGAGGTAATGGGTTTTTGAAAGTCTGATGAAAGCTAAGGATCCTCTCCCCAGAAAAAGTGCTTATATGCATTTACATCAAAAAGGGCAGCTAAGTTTCAGGAAGACTATAGACCCTGGGTTAAGAATCCCAGAAATAGAGATCCTTTCCTTAATTTTTTTTCTCATTTTTCTGTATGATATTTAGGAGAAAAAAATGCAATGTAAGAAACAATGGAAGAGGTTTTTATCTGAGCTTGAAGTTTTACTACTGTGAGTATATTTTGTCTGGAATTTCTCCCTCTGTGCCTGGTTTTCAGCTTTGTACATCTTTGATGCTACAGCACAGTGCTTGGCATGGTTAGCATGTAATAAATGTGGGTTGGCTATGAGAACACTGCGTACATTTTTGACGTCTGCTTTAGTCTGTTCCTTAGAATACATTTTAAAATACACCATCCACATAATTCACTTGAACATATTTTAACAAGAAACTGTCACAAGGAGGTGGGTTAAATCATGTGTGACTAACATGGCTCAATGTCAAGTAACTCCTAGAATATTAGAATTGTGTATATATTTGATCATTCCCTCCTTCCTTAGAGACATTTTAGTCAAGAAACTGTTTCATCAGTATAACCCTCTTCAGGAAGAGAGTTTAGACAAAGAAATCAAGTGTTGTTTTCTGGGAATTCATTCATGAGCCCGGGAGTCCTTGGAGACAAACTAAAATGACTTCATGTTCATATATATTCATATTTGCAGCCGCACAGCCTGCTCATCAAAGGCCCTTAACCCTATGGAGCTCACTCATCACCCTTTATGAAAAGAAAATATTCTTTTCAGATATTTTCTAAAGCCATAAGTGAAATGGGCGGTGGTGGAGGAGGCATTGTACTAAATCCTTTTTTTATCCTCGGGACCAGAAATCAAAACATTAGAAGTCTAATCATAAAAACTTAATGCATATCATTTAGTCAACCAAAAACTAAAATCCAAATTGTAATAGTAGAGGGTTTCTATTTTTAAGCTTTATTTATTTGCTAATGAATAAGTAGTAAGTTGGAAAATTTCAAAATTCCAAAAGTGCCAAAGGGTAAACCAAGAACAGATTTTTTTCCCCACTATTACCTTTAACCACCCAGCTGATTTCCCCAAGGGCAACAGTTATCAGTTTTCTGTATATCTTCCCAGAGATACTTTATGCATAAGCATGTGTGTATTTTGTTTTCTTATTTTCACACCAGGGGTAGCATAAATATGTTGTTCACTTTGCTTATTTTAGTATTTCATTGTGTGCTGTACTGTAATTTAATTAACGATTCTCATATCGATGGATTTTTTAGTTTTTTTCTAATCTTTTAATATTAGAAAGTAATGATGCTGCAACAAGAAACGCTTGTATATATGTTATTTTCTACCTGTTTGAGTATATCTAAGTCCCATAAATACAATTACAGGGTCGAATGGTTATATGCATTGCATAATACCAAATGTCCTCCAAAAGAAATACCAATTTACACTTAAAGCAGGCATATATAAGAATGCCTGGCTCCCCATATTTTTGTCAACACAGCATTTATTCTTAACTTTTAATTTTTGCCAGTGTGCTAGATGAAAATGATTTCTCAGTGTGGTTTAAATTTCTTTTTCTATTATGAGTGAATCTTTTCACATATTAAGAGACCTGTTTTCTTTTCTGTAAAATATCTGATACTATTCTTTGCCCATTTTTTTAAAAAAGAATAGGCTGTTGGTATTTTTCTTAATGATTTGTAGGAGCGTTTTTTTTTTTTTTTGATTTTTGCTCCTTCAAAGTCCAATTTTTTTTTATTATAATTTTTTCATTGTTATGTTAACCACCATACATTACATCATTAGTTTTTGATGCAGTGTTCCATGATTCATTGTTTGTGCATAACACCCAGTG